GGAGTTAGGGTCTCAACTCCCATTGGAATTCAATATGCTTTGGCTCTTAACTCCCCTAGGCTCCTATGAAAATCCCTGCCTTACGGGGTTTTTGATTGCCTGTGTGCTGTTTGTGACAATCTCTGTTCTAGGACAGTTCTATGTGTGTAAATAATCAAATTACACTTAGAAGGTACCCAGCCTCTGTGTCACTGATTTCTCTTCCACTGGGAACCCAACCTGCAAGTCCCTGGAGAGCTGCAATGGCTTGGTAGACGGGCAACATTATTATTACTTGAGGACTCATAACGAAAAGATCCTTTTAAATCTGGAGTCACTGAAAAAGGCTCTAAATAATTGTATTTATGTTTTCTTTTTTTAGGGAAACATCTCAACACTATCCGTAAGTTCCATTTTTGCTCCTGGTAGAACCAATGTTATGTTATGAAAGATTTTTGAATGACTGTGACCATGTCAACTTGAAAATCATAAGCAATACAACCAATACTAATCGCATAACTTGTTATGTCGGTAATGGGTAGGAAGCCAGGACTGTACATGTATCTTGAGTGAGGCATTTTCTTTCTGTTTATTATTTAGGTAAACTTCAAACAGAGCTAGGTAAGGGCATTTTTTTGTTTTGATTTTTTTCTCACACTGATGCAACCTTTTCTATGATAATGAATCCTATTGATACTGCATTTGTCTGGCTTAATTCTCATCCCCACCTATGTGTTTGCTTCCAGAGTGGAGGAGATCCCTGGGTGATGCAGGTAATTAAAAATCATATTTAATCAATGGGGGGATCATGTTCCCTTTCGCTGTGCAAATAAACAAGGAGAAAACTATAATATGTCCCAGGTGGAAGAAGGGAGGGTGCTGAGGTTCAAAGGAGGGAGAGGAATGGACCATCCTCGTATGTCGTCCTTACACATTGCTCCCATAACTCTGGAAACGTCCCTGCTCCGAGTGACTGAGCAGTTATGGTTTCTTAGGATCCTGCCCTAGTGTCAGGTAGAGGAACAAGAGCGCTGACCAGACACATGAGTTCAAACCAAGGAGTCCCTGTGATCAGTGTTCAGCTTGTGCTTCTTTTCTCTTCTCTCCATCCACAGTGATCTCCCCTTTCTGCTCTCTCCGTCAGATCCCAACTTTCTGCTGTTTTTAACCATCTTATCCATGTTCTCCTCCATGCATTCATTTATATCAAACCCTTTTCTTCTCTCTCCACCTCTAACTCTCCTCTCTTGTAGAAGCCCCTTGCTCATAAATACAAATCTTTATGTTAGAAATGAAATCTAGAGTGATAATTCTCTTGGTCTGGCCCTGATGACTAGCTACAGAATTTTAATTAGGGAATCTTTGAATCATGTCATTATCGACAGATCTCAGATATGTGGCAGGATGGAGCAGGTGTCAGGGTGGCATCAACAAGAGACATCCAAGCGCCAGGACTTTAAATACAAGAGAGGGAGGGCACGTCAGAGAAAAGATAGTTGTGACCATGTGAGTGATGTGAGGGGAAATCAACTAGGGCTTCCCTGATTCCAGGGTCTCTAATCCCCACTCTGGGGATAGATGGGTGCATGAGGGGAATGATGATGAGTCTCAGAACTGGGTCAGTAAATCTTTATGCTCTGTCACTGACCTGTCTCTGACTGGGGAGTGAAACTCAGGAGTGAATGCTGAGATCTCAGAGCTGCTCCCCATTCAGAGCCAGGTAAATCCTGGAGGAATATTTCCTGGTTCACTCTCCCGCTGGGACAGATTCTGTCACTGATATAATGAAACACTCCCCCAAGGTGGAGCTGTGCCCCTAACGCTCTGATTCTCTCCCCCCCAGCGAATGTGACTCTGGATCCAGACACGGCTCATCCAGAACTTGTCCTGTCTGAGGATCGGAAAAGTGTGAGATGGGCCGACACACGGCAGGATCTGCCCGACAACAATCCTAAGAGATTTGACACTGAGCACTGTGTGCTGGGCTGTGAGGGGTTCACCTCAGGGAGACATTACTGGGAGGTGGAGGTGGGAGTTGGGCTACTCTGGGCTGTGGGGGTGGCCAGAGAGTCTGGGAGGAGGAAGGGAGGGATCAGCCTTAGCCCTGAGGAGGGGATCTGGGCTGTGGATCAGAGGCAGGGCCAGTACCAGGCTCTCACCGCCCCTGTGACCCCCCTGCTCCTGAGCCGGGCCCCCAGCAGGATCCGGGTTTGTCTGGACTGTGAACGGGGGCAGGTGACATTTATCAATGCTGCTGACGAGGCCCCGATCTTCACTTTCCCGCCGGGCTCTGTCCCTGGGGAGAGAATCCGCCCTTGGCTCTGGCTGGGGATGGAAAGCCAGCTCAAACTGTGTCCCTGAGAGATGGGGGGTATAGCCCACTGGGGACTCTGAAATCAGCCTCTCTAGTCTCCCACACCCCAGTCTCTATGATCTTGGCATCATCCAGTCCACCCAGTCCTATGGCCTCTTAATTCTATGTCCCCTAGAAACTCCTCCCCCCTCCCTCCCTGCAGCACAGAGATTTATAAAACGTCACTGAAGGTGAGACTGTCACACATTCATTTCATATGTTACTTCCTTGACTTTGTTGCCATTTCAGTGTCATTAAAAAAAACTGTTCCCAAAACCTGTGGGTCTGTTTTCCATTGGTGTGGGTATTGAAGCTGTTTCTTGGCTCCTTTTCGCTCTGACAGGTGTTCACGGTAAATAAAGCATAAAAGACAATTCTGATTTGTCCCTTTATAGTTTTCCAGCTGCAATTGTTGGGGGCAGAGTCGTGGGATTTGCTTCCCTACTTGGTTGTGGTGGACAGAATCAATGTTCCCTCTAATTTTTGACAGACCGTGTGTGCAAAAAAATTCTTCTGTGCAAATTGTTTGCTTCTGTGCACATTTTTGTGCGTGCGGTGTTTTGCCATGTGCGCAGGGTTTAAGATCTGTGCGCAGGGTTTAAGACGCACACAGCTTAGAGGGAACAGCAGACAGAACCCAGAGGAATTGTGATGATTTTCCAGGAGCAACTTTCTTTTCTTTGTACTCTAAATCTCACATGACAACAAAAATATCACCCTTTTGACTGATTTATGGCTGAAAAGAAAAGTTTCCCAATAAAGCTTCACCAAATTTCCTCTTATGTGTCATTAAGTGCCAGTGTCTTTAATACAATTAAGTTAATTTGTGATGATTCAGTAAAGTAGAACCCATCCTATATTTCTTTATCAAACTACATTTATTGTGTCCTTATAACCAAGAACATGAAGAGCCCAACAGAACATTGAAATCAGCAGTGGACACTGACAGTCCATTGCCTGCAAATAATATTTCTAAAGAAAAATAAACTAAAAAGTGGAGATTATAGAAGAGATTTCTATCTATAGGAAGATAGCATTTGAGGTTGGGGACTGTGTTTTGTTAATTGAGGTGAGAGAAAGAAAGGAAAGGCTCTCCCCACTGCCAGTTTATCTAGGGCTGTGGTGTATTTACAGACACGTACAGTCTTGAAATCGAGCTTGGACGTCTCTTTAAAAACACGCCCTAGCTCAACCAGCAGATATGGGCTGGATACAGGGCTCCCTGGCTGTGACGCACTGTTACACAGGAGGCCCATCGAAATGATCTGAGCGCTCCCTTCAGAGACCTCCACAAAAAGTCAAACCACTGGGCCCCTCTAGCCCGGTTTCCCCCACCCTGCTACGGCCATCCTGGAGCAGACCCCGGGTGTTCAACAGACTGTGTGAAGAGTGGGGGTTAAAGTTCCCCTCATTTCCCCCTAACCCCATCAGCTACAGGCTTGTCCCCTGACATAGCACAGTTCAGACCCCTTATATTCTCCCCTCTGGTATAACAGGATCCTCGCCTTAGCCATATAAATGCCTGGTCTTGCTTTGAATTCTGTGGTGATCTTGGCCTCACTGAGCTCTGGTGGCGGTGAGTCCTACGGGGATCCCACCTCCACACCACCCCAAGAACACCAGACCACCAGGGTTGGCATAAAGCTGTTTTCTGCCTAAAA